AGAAATAGGGAAAAATCTGGAGGAAAAAAAAAATACAAATAAACTTTTTAAACTGGTATCAGCAGATTAGAATACATTCCAGTGCTTTCACTTATGTACATCATTCACAGAGTACATGGAACAGTTTACATCCAAACACACTAGGAACAATTTAGCATTAAAATCCAATGATTTTCTGTTGTTTTATTGTGGGAGGAAACCCACGCAAACACAAGACGGCCATACAAACCCCATGTAGCCATAGCTCAAAGCAGCTATACAAACAGCCAGGACGGTCAGTGGACAATCCCCTCTGAATGAATGCTGTACTCTTGATTCTGACCTTTAGTACATGTGTCCTATGAAGATTGTTTTACTTATCTTGCACAAACAAGGACGATGTATAATGTGCTGTACAATAGCAGTATCGCAGCTTTTAGCCATGAGAAGGCCTCCCGTCATGTGACCTCTGACAGCATTCCAGGATCGTGCAGGGCATTCACCTGCAATATACGACAGCTACAACAGCTTGCGTCACGCAGCGCGGTGTTTACATTGGGCTTGTTACAAGTACTGTATAGCTGGCTGACCTCATATAACTGAGCACGATGATTAACAGTGTCAACATGAAACAGCAAATTCTACAACTCCTAAGCTCCAGGCTGAACTGATCCAATAACCAGCATGTGTATTTCAGGCAGGTATTCAGAGGAATGTCTAATCCTCAATTACATGTCGGGAGATGTGTTCTGATGGCAGCAGGCTAATGATCTGTAAATCACACCAATTAGGAGGCTTTCATGGGGCAAAAACCAGATGTTAGCTCCTAAATATACAGATTATTGAGAATGTTCCGTTCTACTCATAGACAAATGATTTATAAACCTTGCAGTCAGAACATATCTACCTCCCCATGGGAAGCAATAGTGGTCTTCAATAGAACTCCACTGCCATGGCATCCAAACACCCGCTGACGTCCCATAACCCATGACTTGGGTTTAAAGTGGTCACCGAGCCTCAGCACAACATGAAAGGTCTGAACTAGGGCTGCAACAACTAATCGATTATTGAAAAAGTTGTCAACTTTTTCAATAATCGATTAATCGGCTTCCGATCAGTTGGCCCTGTTCACGGCTCCACACACGCTGCGCGCCGCACCTCCTCCCCAACTCACGCTCACCGCTGCAAGACCCGCCCGCATCCACACTCTAAACGCCGCACCTCGTTCCCGCCTCACACTCACCACCCGCCCACATCCACGATCGGCACAGGGACGCGGGGAGATGTAGTGAGGAGGAGGTGTGGGGGGGATGACAGCCGCCGATAGACAGGCCCAATCTCAGAAGCAAGTTACTGGAAGACTGCTCAGGTAATCCTGCACTCCCCCCCACATGGTGCTCTATAATGTATTGCTGGGATTTGTATTTCTCTATAGCTGATGGTACATTGTGCTGTATATTATACATGGGAATACAAATCCCAGCAATGCATTATACACTGTATATATAATGTATTGCTGGGATTTGAAGTCCTCTATAGTTGGTGATATTCTGCAATGCGCTGTATAGAGGACTACAAATCCCAGCAATAATACATTATACAGTGGTGCAATGCCGAATACCACCAGCTATAGAGGACTACAAGTCCCAGCAACAGTACATTATACAGTGCAATGCAGAATACCGCCAGCTATAATGTATTATTGCTGGGATTTGTTGTGCTCCTCTATAGCTGGTGATATTCTGCATTGCGCTGTATAATTTACTATTGCTGGGATTTGTAGTCCTCTATAGCCGGTGCCATTCTGCATTGATTGCTGTATAATTTTAAACTTTCCATTTCACTATATTGCACACCACACTTTTTTTTTTTTACTTCCACCGCTCCAAAGCTGGCTCCTGTGATGGACTACAATCTCAATACAAACTAGTAGTCCATGACTGGAGCCATTTTTTAAAATGTCTTTTATTGTTTATCCGATTAACCAATTAATCGAACTTAATAATCGGCTAACTAATCGATTTTGAAAATAATCGTTAGCTGCAGCTCTAGTCTGAACCAGGAGCAAGCTCAGCTCTCAAGCTTTATAGTAGCTTCTCATATATATGGAAGCTGTTCTGTTAATCAATATTGTTCCAAGTGCTGTGTGTGGGGCACCGATATGGGCTTTTTCTACACGTCTGCTACTATATTGTATGTCAGCAAAGCTATAAAGCAAAACTACTATATGTGCAGAAATGACCTGGCCTTTAAGGGCTCATCCAGACAGGCAGTCCAGAAAAAATGTTTGATAATGCTGTATGATGAAATTCAGCCCCTTGCACAAGACCGCAGGCAGACAGCGGGATCTCGTCCAGCTTTACCAGTTGGACATCATCACAGCTATGAGGCTGCTTAGATAAAACTATCTGGATCTCACAAAGGATGGAATGGAGAGGTCAGGGGCAGAGAAAGAACAAGGGCGCTCAGCTAAAGTCAGTGCACAGCTGTAAATATCACACCAAAAAGACAACATGGGGACAAGGCTAGAACAAACATGCAGATTTCCACTGGCAAGACACAAATGCATTGTAAACGGAGACAGAAAACGTTTCTTACATCGAGGGCCCACCGCTAATGAAAGTTGTGTCATAAAGAATTCTTACGCCAAGGGGAAACTTTATGCAATAAAAAGAGAAGCGCAATTTTGTAAAAGTTACACTCACTGAAAGTCAAATGTTACATAGTTACAGTTAGTCGGGTTGAAAAAAGACACAAGTCCATCAAGTTCAACCTATAGGCCTCATTCACACGAGAAAAGGCCGGCATGTACTCCCTTCTCTATGGGAGTACGCGGCCGTACGCCGCCCTACGCTCACCCGCCCTGCACATCCGTGCGGGTACAGGTGTCAGTACCCGTACGCTGATAGGATGGATCCTGTCTGCGTCCGACCTGGGACACCCGCACCCCTACGGACCTGCACTTGGGATGACGTACGGCCGCGTACTCCCATAGAGAAGGACAGGGGCTGCGTACTAATCACACGCAGCACCTGTCATTCCTGGGAGGTGCCCGATACAGCTGTACGTGCCGACCTTTTCTCGTGTGAATGAGGCCATAGAGATAAGAAAAAGAAAAAAAGAAGAAAGACCTAAAACAGAACCCTCTGCCCCCAGTTACCCACTATTGATCCAGAGGAAGGCAAAAAACCCCTATAAAGCATGGTTCGATTTGCTCCAACGGGGGGAAAAAATGCCATGCTCCATGCCATAAGGCAATCAGGTATTTCCTGGATCAACAATCTCTGGTGCTTAATATACCTATAAGAACTCAATATGCAATAATATTCTGGATAATTAATATTCGTAAGTATTTCTTACGAATCTGTACATGAACTGTGTTCGATTAAACGCACTTTAGGATGGGTCGGCCGGCAGTGGTCTTGGAGCCTTGTATACATGACGTCCTTTCTGAAATCATCCCCTGTACTTGCCTCTGGTTTCCAGCTGGAAGAATAGGATGGGCATTCTGTGTTGGGTTACACATGATTCCCTAGGGCAGAGGTCCAGGAACTTGGTCCCACGTCACATCAATCCACTGAAAATGCTTATAAGTAAAACTAACCACAGACATCACATGGAGTCAGATGATAGAAAACTATTTGGCTAAATCAGTGGGATCAAGAGGTCATTATCTCGTGTCTTCAGGAACTGTACATCCGAGGAGCTTAGTATTTGAGTTCTCCTGGTCATGTCTGTCTGTAAGTAACGTCTGATTTGCGTTTACATTTTTTTTACTTGCTTACTTGATAAGTCTAAATGAGAAGAGGACTTAGAGGAGACACTTTCAGAGTCTGATTGGCAGGATATATGGGCTGACAAATGCTCTACTACATTCTTGCCATAGGAAAATACATGCAAATTCACATTTAGATATGGGTACCTTGTCCCAACTGACATTGTGAAGTACTCCTATGCTTACTCATCAAAGTGCTTCCGAGATTGTGATTCAAAGGGCACAATGTTTCATATATGGAACAGCTGCTCAAATGTACAAAGACTTTGGATAAGTGTGTACAACCCCCCATCCTTTACAACTAACATAAAAACCTCTAGGAGGTCCTCTATTTAAATGAAGTTAAAGCACCATTGGGTGCAAAATAACAGATCCCCTTTATAATCAAATGACTTCTCCCACTGATACTTACTCCATTGCCATTCTGTTTTCCTGCCCAGGCCCAGAGTTAAAAGTCCTGTGTAAGCTCTTTGTTAAAGCTTCCACGGGACTAATGGTCTTCCCCCTGTGACAGACCTCAGGCTTGGCGAATGGCAGCATAGGTGCAGAACAATGCATTATTGGAAGAATGGGAGAAGGTTCCACCATATGTACTTCTGTACCAAGTATTTTCAATGGCTCTGGCAGGTGAATAGGGTGACAGGGGAGCATGGAGGAGAGAGTATCAGCAGAAAGGGGCGGGCTATCATGAGAACATGTTACTTTACCCTAAATGGGCACCGTGAAAGATATCATTAAATGGCAGGATAACAGGCATGATAAAAAACAAAAACAAGGCCATTCAAGTACGAGTCAACAAACTCATGCCTGCTGAAGTTTTTTTAAATCTGGTCACCCTGCGAAGACCATCATTGCCCTGGAGGCTTTGATGGGTCTAGTCTTTTCTTTAAATGAGAACTATGAGATGAGTGGTTTCCACTCACCTCATAGTTCTAGCCGACCTGTGACAATGAGACTGTCACAGGTCGGCTCAGTAGATCGGGAGGTGAGCGAACACATACCGGCGTTCGCTTACCTCTCTATCCTGTCACGGCTCTCTGCCGTGACAGGGGAGGGGCTGGATTCTCCGATCCACCAGCGCTGACTGGCGGAACGGATGGGGGAGGGGGCGGGTATAGCTGGCTCTGCCTCTAGATAGGCAGAGCCAGCTGTCACTCACGCAGCTGGGCGGATCTCGGATGTTGCTCCAAATGAAGAAATTTCACTGAAGGGCACACACAATGAAGGATCACATTATCCTACTTACCTAAAACAGTCACAATGAACAGAAGAGTAGCCACGGCCGCCGTGCCATAAAACATGATGCTGATGTTGTGTCCAGTCAACTCCATATCATCTGATCTTGGGACCAACACTGGAGGGAGGAGGAAACCAATGGCAGTGCCAAACTGTGGAAAGAGGAAAATATCATAAGCTTGATTTTGCCAGCGCCTTTCACATTTAAATAGTTAATTTAGGAACTATGCTTGGGCAAAAGGACTGTGCTTGGGAGAGAAGAAGATGAAAGTGTCACAAACATGACAGAAATGAGTTTGCAGGCTGTCCACCTAGTAAGCAGGCCGTAAGATGTTTAAACTGGCACCATCATTAATGAAAGCTAGAAAGAGCTCTTTGATGGTTACTTAAGTGACACTAAACTCCGGAGCTAAATCTTAAAAATACATTCAAGAACATTAAAAAGGAGAACTATGGAGTCAGGGCTTTTCCCCATAGTTCTCCTTTGGGTAACGGGAGGACACAAACTAGCGTCCTCCCGTTACCCTAAGCTCAGTATACCACGATCTACAGCTCGCGGTATACTGAGGCGCCGCACCCGGAGCGGATCCCGACATCGATGTCGAGATCCGCCCAGCTGCGTGAGTGACAGCTGGCTCTGCCTATCTAGAGGCAGAGCCAACTGTACCCGCCCCCGTTCGATCCGCCAGTCGGCGCTGGCGGATCGGAGTGAGGAATCCAGCCCCTCCCCTGTCACGGCAGAGAGCTGTGACAGGATCGAGAGGTGAGCGAACGCCGGTATGTGTTCGCTCACCTCCCGATCTACTGAGCCGACCTGTGACAGTCTCATTTTTACAGGTCGGCTAGAACTATGAGGTGAGTGAAATGCACTCACCTCATAGTTCTCCTTTAACTATTAGGAGTGAGCTTGGAGTGGTGACTACTTTACAACACACACAGGGACCATGGGGAACAAAAGTAGCCCCCCTCCAGAAGGAAGGACAGTGTCAGCACCAATTCAGAGATGATTTGAGGATCTACAGCCGAGTGATACACAAATAAGATAGATTTTTGTTAATAGTTAAGGTGCTAGAATGTATTTTTAAGATTTACAGTAACTCCTGAGTTTAGAGAGTCCCTTTAACTCACTCACACCAATTGCGTTGCGTTCCAGAGCAGCAGCTGCCAGATCGCACAGCAATCGCTCACAAAACGTTCCCCTTCGTTCTAGGGCATGGCGGTGCATTGAAGTCAATGGCACCGCAGCCACGATCCCCCGCCTGCAGTGCGATTGGACGTGTGGCAAAAACATTGCCTGTGTTCCAGTCCAGCATGCTCTATTTTTTGCGTTCGCAGTGGACTGGAACGCAGGCAATGTTTTTGCCACGCGTCCAATGGCACTGCGGGGGCGTGGCTGCAGTGAAATTTACTTCAATGCACCAACACGCCCCCTCCCGCCCCTGAACAAAGAGGAAAGTTTTGTGAGCGATTGCGGTGCGTTCCGGTAGCTGCCACTCTAGAACGCACCGCAACTGGTGTGAATGGGCCCTAAAACAGAAGCTCTGAAACAGTAACCTTGTGTCCTCATCACAAAAGCCATAACATCAACACAAGACAATTCAGAGCCATTAACATTAACTAGTCTCCTACCAACAAAACCATAAACTCCTTGTGAGATTACACAAGCAAATTCTTCCACCTCGCCATAAAAAAATGTGCAGATTCAGATCTGCTGATATAACGCAATCAAAAGAGAAAGTCGTCTTGGCAGTTATTGCAACATCTCAACAGCACAAGGAACTCTTCAGTTAATACGTGGGTGAGCTGTAAGGGCCTGGTCATTGCAGAAAAGTATCTGCACATTCCATCCGAGCAGGCCCTGTAAAAGGTCATTGCGTATTTGGCTCGGCAGTTAATAAAGAGGAATGTCACCCAGAAACGGGAAACATAAAAAATACTGTAGCTGCTGACATATACTTACCAGGCCAGGACGTCCAGCGCTGTCTTCCCTGCACTTGCCAGGTCTTCTGCTGTCCCAAGCTGCCATGTTGCTTTCGGGAGCTGGCTGTCACTTCCTGATGGCTTGGCTCAGTGGGAGATTCCCCCATACACACAGTTCAGCGTAGATGGAGGAATCTGTTGCATTTTTTCCATCTGACCCTAGAAAATCTGCAGATAATCTATAGGTGTATGGCCAGTTTAAGGAAGCTCCTTCCACTGCCACCTAATCAGCTGTGGCCAGGGAACAACCCCCCCCCTCCCCCCCCACCTAAGTGGGATGAGGACAGCACAAGCAGCAGTCCCCTTTGTTTATGTGCAGCTATGGGGTGGGGAATACTCCTGCCGCAGATGATTGGGCAGGTGGCCCCATGGCACTTCTGGGTTAGGAGGAGCTCAGGTTCGGACCAGCTTTCGTCCAAACCTGACCACAGTCCGTAATCATGAGGAACGGTTAGAACTCTTTGTCAGGTTCTTAAAACTGGTTGTGACCCAATTTGAGCGATTTCCATTGTCTTCCTGTGTGGTCACCTGGATACCAGGTGCGGTCTGCCCTGCACAGGTTTTGTTTTGATGTAAATATAAAGATAAGGATAAGAATATTGGTAATGGAGAATATAACTCAAAGAAGAGCCGTCAGATATGATGCACCTGGGATCTTTCTTGTAGGTATAAAAGGTGAACGTACGCTTTACACACATCCAGAGGAGAACGCCTGCTGTCTCTGCACATTCTATGAATATACAGGAACTCCATATACAAGGACAAGGTAAGAAAGGTCAGACTGTGCAAGAAAGGACAAGTTCAGCGTCATTAGATTTGTCATTTCCATGTGCATTTGCTCCTATGTACAGAACACGTGGAGACACAAGAAAACACAACTTACATGTCCTCCAGGCTTATGAAGAAACAGCTCACAAAACAGGTTTATTGCTTCCCGGCTCGTCCTTTCCATTATGACAACATAACGCAACAGAATATCACTGAGGACAAAATCTGTATTCTGATAACTGCATATAACCATATACTATCAATTCTAACTTTACATTCCTTTTAGATTAGGGGTGGACAAATGAATATTACATTTAGCAGACCGTCTGTCCAATCCAGGAGCCAGTAAGATTGTCCTTAGAAGACAGCTCCTAAGACATAAGTTAGGCGCCAGCTGAGATTTCTATTGAGCATTGGCACCCTGGAATTTCTCCAGTCCTGATATACTGTATATTGCTTTCCAACCTGCCAGCAAAAGTGACAATAGTTGGGACAAACTGTAATACTGTTGGGGGTGCTTTACAAACTGTGTTGTATTCAATGTTAAATCTTCTCAACACCTGTTACTGATACATTGCTGGACAACGCTACCATGCTGAAGGATATCTACTGTTCAACATTGAGCAATGGTTTCTAAAAACGCTTCTGCAACCATTCAAGTACCCCTGGCAGGGTTATGGTTTGTCCCAAGCATCCCTAGCGGGGTTATAGTTAGTCCCAAGCATCCCTAGCGGGGTTATAGTTTGTACCATGCACCCCTGGCGGGGTTATAGTTAGGCCCAAGCATCCCTGGCGGGGGTTATAGTTTGTACCATGCACCCCTGCAGGGTTATAGTTTTCCCCAAGCACCCCTGGCGGGGTTATAGTTTGTACCATGCCACCCTGCAGGGTTATAGTTTACCCCAAGCACCCCTGGCAAGGTTATAGTTTGCCCCAAGCACCCCTGGCACGCTTATAGTTTGCCCCAACCACCCCTGGCACGCTTATAGTTTGCCCCAACCACCCCTGACAGGGTTATAGTTTGCCCCAAGCACCCCTGGCATGCTTATAGTTTGTCCCAAGCACCCCTGGCAGGGTTATAGTTTGTCCCAAGCTCCCCTGGCAGGCTTATAGTTTGTCCCAAACACCCCTGACAGGGTTATAGTTTGTCCCAAGCACCCCGGGCAGGGTTATAGTTTGTCCCAAGCACCCCTGGCAGGGTTATAGTTTGTCCCAAGCTCCCCTGGCAAGGTTATAGTTTGTCCCAAACACCGCTGACAGGGTTATAGTTTGTCCCAAACACCGCTGACAGGGTTACAGTTTGTCCCAAGCTCCCCTGGCAGGGTTATAGTTTGTCCCAAGCACCCCTGGCAGGGTTATAGTTTTTCCCAAACACCTTCTGACAGGGTTATAGTTTGTCCCAAGCTCCCCTGGCAGGGTTATAGTTTGTCCCTGGCAGGGTTATAGTTTGTTCCAAGCACCCCTGGCAGGGTTATAGTTTGTCCCAAGCACCCCTGGCAGGGTTATAGTTTGTCCCAAGCTCCCCTGGCGTATAATAAATAGGAGGTGCATGAAATAATAAAGGGAATTTAGACAGCGAATATTATCATTACGTGTATCAATCCAATGCAGTTGTCAGAATACTGTAGATGGAATTCAGAAGGAGTTTTATAGACACTCTGTCTTCAGCATCCTCTCTTGCCTGAGCATGACAAATGTCAGTGTCTGTGTTTGATTCATGTACCTGTTAGAATACAAAAATCTGTTGAATGTAGACTGGCAGTGAGGCCGGGTTGTCCATACCAGACACTCTGTTCTCCATGCAGGTCTGTAATGCCGAGCCTGATATTATCACAGGCTTAGGCTGGGTTCACACTTGGGCATTCGTAATATGTGCGTTTGATGCACGTTTCGGGCCGCGCGTTTTTACCGCAATTTGCGGTCAACGAAACACGCGACAAACGCGTGTTTATGAGGGCTATCCAGCTGTATCCTGATGGATACACATGGAAAATACGCCCCAAAGAAGCTCCCGTACTTCTTTGGGCATAGGGCGTTTTTCAGCGCGTTCCTACGTGCTGAAATACGCCCAGGTGGGAACCATGCCCATAGGAAATAATGGGATTTCACTTGCTGGGCGTTTTACAGCGCATTGATCAGCGCTGTAAAACGCCCAGGTGTGAACCAGGGCTTAGTGCTACTGAGCTCCCTGCCACTCACTGCATCTGTCACACAGGCAGACTCAGCGGACGAGAAGTTATACTGTTGGGTGGACAGAGCCAGACGGGAATTCTAAAAGACTAGTTCCCCATCAGGTCTGCCATCCTTATGATTGACAGTGGACAAATTCCATAGCCACTAGCATACTGTCTAGTGGCTATTGAATCAGCCCAATGCTGTCCGCTGACCATCATAAAGAAGGCAGACCTGATGGGGAACTAGACTCTCAGCTTCCACATCAGGCTCTGGCCACTGTCAATCAAGCCACACATCATTGGTTGCTAGGACACTGTTAGCTGTGCAGCCAACAGCATCCTAGCAACCAATGATACATCTCCGGCTCCATCATCTGGCAGCTGGGAGATTTGCCAGCCAGCAGCTGAATATAAACAAAGGGGCTTACTTAAGTGACACTAAACGCAGGAGTTAAATCTTAAAAATACATTCAGGTACCTTAACTATTAACAAAAATGTATCTTATTTGTGTATCACTCGGCTGTAGATCCTCAAATCATCTCCGAATTGGTGCCGACACTGTCCTTCCTTCTGGAGGGGGGCTACTTTTGTTCCCCATGTTCCCTGTTTGTGTTGTAAAGTAGTCACTGTGGTAGACTACAACTTGAATACAAATGAGCTAACTAAATGGGAGTGAGCTTGGAGCGGTGACTACTTTACAACACAAACAGGGATCATGGGGAACAAAAGTAGCCCCCCTCCAGAAGGAAGGACAGTGTCAGCACCAATTCAGAGATGATTTGAGGATCTGCAGCTGAGTGATACACAAACAAGATACATTTTTGTTAAAAGGAGAACTATGAGGTGAGTGCTTTTCACTCACCTCATAGTTCTAGCCGACCTGTGACAATGAGACTGTCACAGGTCGGCTCAGTAGCTCGGGAGGTGAGCGAACATGGTCAGCGCTCTCCTCTCGATCCTGTCACGGCTCTCTGCCGTGACAGGGGAGGGGCTGGATTCCCCCCGCTCTGATCCTCCAGCGCTGACTGGCAGAACGGACGGGGGAGGGGGCGGGTACAGCTGGCTCTGCCTTTAGATAGGCAGAGCCAGCTGTCAGTCACGCAGCTGGACGGATCCCGGCACAATTGTCGGGATCCGCTTCAGCTGCGTCGTCTCAGTATACCGCGAGCTACAGCTCGCGGTATACTGAGCCTAGGGTGACGGGAGGACGCTAGTTTGTGTCCTCCCGTTACCCTAAGGAGAACTATGGGGAAAAGACTTAACCCCATAGTTCTCCTTTAATATTTAAGGTCCTTCACTGCAAGGGTAAGTTTTTTGTTTGCCCAGAGTTCTTCTTTACAATAGATGTAAACCAAACCACTAAAGTCACAAATAAACTTTAAAATGTTAACAAAATTTTGAAGGTTGAAGAGACTAAGGGGGTTATTAACTCCCAAGCTCCCAGGGAAGGGTTATAGCTTGTCGGATCGGCTGATTTGAAGTCCCTCTGCACTTCGGCTCAGCTGAACCTGCAGAGCATGTTTGACTGACCGAAGTGCGACCGATGTATGGCTGAAATCAGCCGTACAAGCCTGAAGTGAATAGCCGAACGATTTTGGGCTCACTTCCCTTCGGCTGGGTTATTCACTCGGCTGTCTTCAGGCAGCTTTGTGAATAACCCCCTAAGTGTGGCCGCGCATCGGTAAGTCAGTGCACAGCAGTGATATGCAGCAAATGCTGAACCGAGGGTATGTGTGCAGGAAGTGGCTGAAAGAGACTGGAGGAGATTGGCAGCACTGAGACTTAAATAAAAAAAAAGGACGACTACAGTAGTTCATTTTAACCCCAATTTAAGTGGTTGATGATACACTGCGCATCAGAAAAACAAATGTCATTCACTTAGGGTTTACATCTCCTACAATCTTCTAGTAAATCAGTATAAGGAGTCTTTTTTGTGCACATTGATTCATCAATCTGACTTATGAGTGGAGTTCTTCACCCAATACTTTCTTTCTGCCACTTGTTCCAGGGTACTTCCTGTACATGAAATGTACACGCTTATTAGTTCCTGCTTTCCCATTGATACACATTTACTTTATTATTTAGCACACATCACACAGGAGCTGCACAAGTCATAGTGATCGGTACTAGCAATATACGCATTGTAGTAGCAGACACAAGTACAGGACAATCGTACGGCCGGCCATGTACAACATTCAAAGGAAAGCACATGGAATGTAACGCCCCCCTTGCATCGCACCATGTGGGTGCGGTATAAATAATTCATATTCAGTCACATGACCGCCGGCCTTTGTGCCGACATTCCCCTCCCCGTCACCACGTTGTTGGTCTGTTCCTCCGATCTCAGGGTGACTTTATGATCCAAACTATCATATATCATGTGTGTACTCTATACATGACTGCCTGTCGCTGCTTTATTATACAGAAGACGAATACAATAGCTGAAAGGTTTACGACACAGAAAATGACTATATGAGATCTGCTCTGATTTACATCACATACCGCCTGTGTTCATGTACACAGCATGAGGGGGATCTACTGCAATGTACACTGCGTGATACTGAACGTGGATCAAGGGACATGGGATTCCAGAGGGGATCAGTCCAGTACACAGCCAGAATGTATCAGTGATATACATGTACAACGTATAACAACATACTGAAGTGTCAGTGATATACATGTACAACAACATACTGAAGTGTCAGTGATATACATGTACAACGTATAACATACTGAAGTGTCAGTGATATACATGTATAACAACATATTGAAGTGTCAGTGATATACATGTACAACGTATAACATACTGAAGTGTCAGTGATATACATGTATAACAACATACTGAAGTGTCAGTGATATACATGTACAACATACTGAAGTGTCAGTGACATACATGTACAACATACTGAAGTGTCAGTGACATACATGTACAACATACTGAAGTGTCAGTGACATACATGTACAACATACTGAAGTGTCAGTGATAGACATGTACAACATACTGAAGTGTCAGTGACATACATGTACAACATACTGAAGTGTCAGTGATAGACATGTACAACATACTGAAGTGTCAGTGATGTACATGTGTAGTGCTCCAGTCGGCCCGTGTTATAGGTGCTCTGATCTCTAGAATATAATAGAATAATGTTTTAGATTATTATAGTAAAAGCAGATGCCCGGCTTCCTCTATGTTATGTAACATAGGGTATATGGTAAGAGTACATACCACCTCTCTTAATTATGTATATTATACGTATATGGTGATCTATGGTCACACACCTGACTCTCTATATGTAATGTATAAATGGGTCTATGGTCAGTACATGGGGTGAACACCTGGCTCCCTATGTATGTATATGGGATGATCTATGGTCAGTACATGGGGTGAACACCTGGCTCCCTATGTATGTATATGGGATGATCTATGGTCAGTACATGGGGTGAACACCTGGCTCCCTATGTATGTATATGGGATGATCTATGGTCAGTATATGGGGTGAACACCTGGCTCCCCATGTATGTATATGGGATGATCTATTGTTAATACACATCTGGCTCCCTACATATAATGTATATGTGGTGATGTATGGTCAGTACACTGTACAATTAGTATATGGTGATCTATGGTCAGTGCATGGTCAGTATACGGCAACGTATGGTTGGCACTGACCTGGCTCTCTCCATATATAATGTACAGTATATGGTCGGTATACGGGGTGATTTGTGGTCGGTATACGGGGTGATCTGTGGTCGGTATATGGGGGGGATCTGTGGTCGGTATACGGGGTGATCTGTGGTCGGTATACGGGGGTGATCTGTGGTCGGTATACGGGGTGATCTGTGGTCAGTATACAGGGTGATCTGTGGTCGGTATATGGGGTGATCTGTGGCCGGTATACGGGGTGATCTGTGGTCGGTATACGGGGGTGATCTGTGGTCGGTATACGAATGGGGTGATCGGTATACGGTGATCTACGGTCGGTACAATGTATGGTCGGTATACGGGGACATCTATGGTCGGTACAATGTATGGTCGGTATATATGGTGAACTACGTTTGGTATATGGGGTGATCTATGGTTGGCTACTATACGGGGAGATCTATGGTCGGTATATAGGGTGAACTGCAGTTGGTCGGCATACGGGGTGGTGGGTACAATGTACGGTCGGTATATATGGTGAACTGCGGTTGGGTGATCTATGGTTGGTCGGTATACGGGGTGATCAGTATACGGTGATCTATGGCCGGTACAATGTACGGTCGGTATATATGGTGAACTGCGGTTGGGTGATCTATGGTTGGTCGGTATACGGGGTGATCAGTATACGGTGATCTATGGCCGGTACAATGTACGGTCGGTATATATGGTGAACTGCGGTTGGTATATGGGGTGATCTATGGTTGGTCGGTATGCAGGGTGATCAGTATACGGTGATCTATGGTCGATACAATGTACGGTCGGTATATATGGTGAACTGCGGTTGGGTGATCTATGGTTGGTCGGTATACGGGGTGATCAGTATACGGTGATCTATGGTCGGTACAATGTACGGTCGGTATATATGGTGAACTACGGTTGGTATATGGGATGATCTATGGTTGGTCGGCATACGGGGTGATCTACGGTGGGCACTCACCTGGTTGCCCAGCACGGCAGTGGCACAGGCGGTGGACACCTCTTTGGGGCCGAACCAGACAGAAGCCACCCTGGAGGGAAGCCCGAGGATGAAGACCTGGGCCACAGAGCAGATGACCTGAGCCAGCATGGTGACCGGGAAGAGGTCGGAGCGGGCGCTGGCACACTTCACCCAGGCTCCCAGGCAGTTGAGTCCGGAGCCAAGCAGGGCGGTGAGGCGGAGGCCCCGGGTATCCAGCAGCCAGGTGGCCGGGAAGATGAGCGGCACATACGCCACCATGTAGACCACAGACAGCCAGTCGATGTCCTGATTGGAGACGCCGTAGAAGCCGGTGAAGATGGAGGCAAGGATGCTGTAGTGGATCCATTGGAAAGCGTTCACCAGAGAGTACAGCGAGAACACCCCGAGCACCAGGAACCGCCGCCGGTACAGATGGGTCTCCAGTACCACAGGGGCCGCCCCGGGAAGCATGGCCTGTCGCTCATCCTGCTGTCCTCCCCCGACACACACCGACACCTCGCCATTACTGCTGGGGCTAGCCAGTCCGTCCCCGGCCTCCTTGGCCAGCGTGTGCCCGTTGCTCATCTCGGTGGACACCATGGCGGTACGAGAACCCGCAGCATCCCTCTGAAGAGAAGCCGGTGACAGCTCACACTACACATCCCGCACCAAACAGCCGGCACTTGCCAGCCAACCACAAAACACCCGCCTCAGCCGCCAGCCAATCGACGCCGGCTATGCCACGCCCACCGCAGCGCTATGACAGAGAAGGGCGAATTGACATATGCTGTATAGAGAGGTGCGGAGAAGGAGCGGAGCTCCACAGACACGTGACCAATGTTCCCTTCACAGACACCACGTGGGTCACCGTCATAGGGACCCAGCCAGTAATCGTCTAACATCCCCAGGGAGGGACAGGACGGTCTCCCGTTGTCTGATTTGCCTCTAAAGCCGTAATTTACCTTGTGCACAAATGTAATAAATCAACTCACATACATAAAATAAAAAATGTGCATTTATACAGTTTTGCATTGAAGACTGCAGAGCATTGCAACCGCTATCAGTGCATTATGGGTGCAATGCACAGGCTCTTACATCGCTTACATCCCAGGTTCAGTTAGAGGCACAGACCTTTCCTGGGACCAGAGGAAGTAAACAATATGCTGCATGTGCAATGACGTCACTTGTACCGGAGTGCTATGCTGCAGTAGCCAATGGGACTTGTAGTCTTCCCATTGATAGATTCCTGTGAATAGCTGATGTAAGCTGTGCAGGCGCAGCCACCCACAGAAGTGTGAAATTCAATAAGCAGCAGTGGGGTCCGGGGGAGGAATGCGACACGAAATATAGGTCTACAGCAGTAATGTAGCGCTCACCCCCGAAGGAGCCGCTGAGTATGAAATAGGTTCTCCTACCTGTTTGCTCCAGCCACCGGCCCTCTTTGAACAGCAAAAGCACACCGACTAGGGTTGCCACCTTTTCTTCAAGCGAAACCCGAACACTCTAGAGACGCGCAGACAATTTTTGGGGAAAATTAGTTGCGGCTTATTCATATCTAAAGAGCGTCACCCATTCATATGCAAATATTACAGGTGAGACTATTTTCAGTGGGGGGCCAGTAGCCCCTATCTTAATTTTGGTTGCCCCTGTCTGCCTGACATTTTGTGTCCGGGTTTCTGCTGCCATGAAACCCGAACAGAGCATTCAAAACCCGAACTGTCCGGGTGAATCCTGGACAGGTGGCAACCCTAACACCGACACTCACGGACAGAATGGACTCGAGTCTCAGGGTCTTTTTGTAGATTTATTTGCAAGAATTAACAGGAGAGAGAGGGTTTAGGATCTGTAGGATGCCCTGACGGATTCTTCAGAGGACAGCTTTCTCCCCTAGCAACCGCTAAGGCCGATAGCACTGTGATCCGGTCCCAGGGACCAATCGTATTAGCAATACTGCGAACAGCCAGGAGGGTCCAGTAACTTATATGGAGACGGTTAGCTATCTCTGGACTCAGGTAAGGACCTCTGGCTTCTTTTAGAACTGACACCTGGAATAGGGTAAAGGATCTTTCTTGTGGGTCCCAGACGGACGATCTCACCAGGTCCTCTGCGGTACCCCTCAACAAGCAGACTCTCCCTCCGGCCCAGCTTCCATCAGGTCTTTTCCTCTTCAGGATCTGGAATCTCTGTGCCCTCAGCATCTGCAACTGCCAAGGAGCACTCCAGGTTAGTAGTAGTATCCTCTTAGAACAAGGCACCCAACACCTGCCACGTGTATGGGGCCCAAGCAAAGTTCTTATGGTGTCCTAGGCCCCCAGCACCTGCCATGTGCTGAGGCCCGGGCCATTTGCTTGCATCACACAGACCTCCTAGGGTGAGGCCCCTAGAGGGGGGAAGAGACCTCTGCACAGTGTCCCCAGACCTTTTATTACCTGCCCTCAACCATGCCTCTGAGTCATCCTACTCAGGGATTGGCTAGGGTCAGGGGCATAGTAATAACCTGAGGATGGATCCTCCCTCACTGTATGCCAAGGCTCCCTTTTCCTCAGCAACAGGAGGAGCAATCAATCCAGCCGATTCAGGGACACCTATAGAATGCAGAGCTCTGTATAATCAGTATCTAGACTGGTAGACTGGTTACAGTCCAGGTATCTCTAAATTGAATAGCGACATTTTAAAAGGGCGCTACAGTAATATGACATATGATTAAAAAAAAGTTGAATTATCCCTTTAAATCCACTTAAATCTTAAAGGAGAACTATGAGGCGAGTGCTTTTCACTCACCTCATAGTTCTAGCCGACCTGTGACAATGAGATTGTCACAGGTCGGCTCAGTAGATCGGGAGGTGAGCAAACACATACCGGCGTTCGCTCACCTCTCGATCCTGTCACGGCTCTCTGCAGTGACAGGGGAGGGGCTGGATTCCCCTCTCCCTGCTCCGATCCGCCAGTGCTGACTGGCGGAACAGACGGGGGAGGGGACGGGTACAGCTGGCTCTGCCTCTAGATAGGCAGAGCCAGCTGTCAGTCACGCAGCTGGGCGGATCCCGGCACAATTGTCGGGATCCGCTTCAGCTGCGGCGTCTCAGTATACCGCGAGCTATACTGAGCCTAGGGTGTCCTCCCGTTACCCTAAGGAGAACTATGGGGAAAAGCCTTAACCCCATAGTTCTCCTTTAAAACAATAAAAATACCCTGCCAAATAAGACTTTTTACACTTACCAAACTGTTCCTGGAATCTTTGCTATGTTTGTTGAGTAAAACTAACACAGAATTCCTCATTTTAGACCCGGTGATGTCATCACTGGGTCTCTGTGCTACGCCTGGCCAATGAGCAGGGATTAAAGTGGTGCTCCGCATGCAGGAATTCTGTACTTGTGACACTGATGTCTCTATAGAAAAGACTGAAGAAAGCATTAAAGTCTATCTATAGCAGGGGTGGGCAACTTCGGCCCCCCAGCTGTTGTGCAACTACAGGTCCCATGAGGCATTGCAAGACTGATAGTTGCAGGAGTTGCCCACCCCTGATCTATAGCATGCATGGTCAGCTGTGGGAGAGGCGGTTATTGAAGAACTCCAGGAATCTAAAAAGTTAACCCTTGCACAGCACAGCAAGGGTTAACTGCTCATTTTTCTCTAGTGGCCGGAATACAGAAGATATACTCACCCGATCCTCGTTCAGCGCTCACCTGTCTCCCCCTCCACTCCGGCTGTGGTATGTCCCTTAATGTCCCTACATCTACTGCAAGTCAATGGACCTGTATTAGATGTGATGACATCTCGGGTCCTTAGACTGGCACAGTACGGGCGGGGGGGCTGGGGGGGAGAAGAAGCTGTGGGAACTGGTCTAACAGCCAGGCAGGATTGAGGATCGGGGTGAGTATTTCTTTTTTTTCACCCCTAGACCAGAATGAGCAGTTAACCCTTCCAGTGCCGGGTTATCCCCACTGCAAGGGTTAACTTTTTAGATTCCTGGAGTTCCCCTTTAAAGTAGATGTAAACCTCCCCTGTAAAGTAGATGTAAACCTGGTCACTAAAACCTCATATAAGCTTTAACATGTTAATGTCATTTCAAGAGTTGCTTTCAATTATTTAAAGTATAAAAATAATACCTGGTGATCCTGCCATGTGGTCCGGCACTTCCTGTTGTGCGGTGACAACTGTCTCCTGATTGTTCTCTTGCTTTGTCACCCTGTCACATGCGCCCCCGGTGGAGACTACAAGCCGCCAAACCAACACAGATGGCTCTTTCACAGCCCTCTGTTGTCACTATGAGGTCGCTGGTCCATAGCAGTAATGTTGAAGTGGCTAAAAGAGGCTGGAGGAGATCAGCATCACTGAGACACAAGTAAGGATGAAATACAGTGTTTTATTTAAAAAAAGGTAATTGTTTATTATACACAGGGCTTTAGCAAACGAAATGCCATTCAATTATGGTTAACCTCCAGTCTCTACATCAGGGGTGGGCAAACTCTGGCTCTCCAGCTGTTGTGGAACTACAAATCCCATGAGGCATCACAATATTCTCACAGCTACAGGCATGACTCCCAGAGGCAGGTGCATGATGGGATTTGTAGTTTCACCACAGCTGGAGGGCTGGAGTTTGCCTACCCCTGCTCTACATACTGATTGCAGTATAACAACTCCTGTGATCAGCACTCTATTGGATGACAGGGAAGGATGTGGTTTACCAGCATATGCCCCTCCCATGTTCCGAAGCATATAACTTAGCGTATAGGACTTGTATTGACATACAATTCACCGACGGTGAAGGGTGAGGAGGCGGAGGACTGGCCCTAGCAGCGCAGGGCCCCAGCATTTCCGCTCCAGCGGCTTCGAGACAAGCTGGGGCCCCATCAGCGATGCTGCTCGTCTGATGTCGTACTGGCCGGAAGTGGATAACGTGACGTGATGTTACTTCTGGCCTGTACGGCGGAAGATGAGGCCACGTGTGCAGGTAAGAGGAGCTAGGAAGGAAAGGAGGGAGGGGAGGATGGATATGACATGGGAGGTGATTTCAGTGTATGGTTAAAGCTGAACTCCGGGATAAGCAAAGATTTTTAAAGCAGGGATGGGCAGCTCCAGCCCTCCGGCTATGCTTTAACCACAACCAATCAGCTTCTTTCTTTTCCAAATCTGAGGCCCGGTTCACATCTGAGCGATCCGAGATCGCGTGGCGATTCGCACTTTTTTCAGTTTCGCGCACAAATGCAAACCACGCTTGCATTGCCATTCATTTCTAATGAATGGCACCGCAATCCACGCGGTTTTGGGTCGTGTTTCCCGCGGGTGCAATCGCACACCAACGGTGCCGCAAAAAAGCCCTGGGTCGCTCATCCCACAAAAAGGTGCATGAGCCTTTTTACCGGGGGTTTACGTGCAGATATGTCCCCATTGAAATCCAAGGGGTCTGCGCGGCACGCAACCACGTGTGAACGCGCGGCCCCGGGCTGCCCACATGTGAACCAGGCCTTAACTGAACCAACTGAAGAGAGATGGCTGGTTACTATGGGCAACTGCTCCAGATTCTGTCTGCTCCAGTTTTGATAAATTCCCCCCATTGTATCGCTTCTTCTCCTATCTCCCCTGTGATCAGGAAGAGATCGGTGCGGGGAAGAGAAGTACAGGTATGAGAGCCGCACACTGCCTCCCTCTGGTGAGTGTTTGGATGGACACTTATCACAGGGAACCTGCCGGCTGCCTCCTCCCTCCTCGCCTCTGCTCAGCTATGCACCCCTTACTCATTCACATAAGGGACGGGGCAGATATCTGGGAACACCTTTATGTTAAAAGTGGCTTCCAGATTCCATAGTCCACCTCCCCGCAGACCCCAACATCCACCAGGCCATGGATGTGGGAAAGAGTCTCTTGTCCCCTTCAACATAGCCCCCCCCGGGGTATACCCTCTCTATGTTAAGGACATATGGCCTGGTATGACTTTGGGGAATTGGGGGGAAAGAGCATGCTGGCTGCCCCCACCGGTATTCCTGTGTCTTTGCTTGGTGCAAGACACTCTGCTTCTCCCTACTCCACCTTCCTTCTTCAAGCTAGTAGATGAACAGTTGCTGGAGATGATGCTGTCACTTGCGATCTTGTACTGGACAGGAAGTTCAGGGAAGTCGAGCTGAGAGACTTGGAAGCAGCTGTTTGGAAATATGATGACTAAGTGCATGGGCAAAAATGTAAAGAAATACTTTGCTGGGTGTTGTATATTTGTTTGATCTGGATTCACTATTGAAGAAAAGATTTATACTGCTTTACACCCCATTCACACTGAGCGACATGGATATTGCGCGTTTTTCAGTGCGACGTTGCACATTTTATCGCGCTTCGTAGCACGTTTTTTGGGCGGGACTTCGTCGCTGCTACATTGGGCTGTAACCAATCAACAGCGATTTTGATGTGACATCATTCTTTCCTTCTATTTTGCAGTGCAAAAATTATCCTTCTGTAGCGCGATGTCGCGCAATATCGCGGGACACCATAGAGTCTATTAGAGCCGAATCGCGCGACATCCGCGTAAAAAAGGGTCATGTACGAGTGACTAGCTACAGGCGACATTGAGCTGTGAGATGTGAACAGCTCCATTGAAATGCATTGGACAAGCTACATAGAGCGATATCGCACGGAAACATGCGCGATATCGTGGCACAAATCGCGTGATAAACCGCTCAGTGTGAACATTGAATTAATGATGCATTGATGAATACAAACTTGCTTTAATTTGTGGATTTCACATCTGCCTGGAGTTCAGCTTTGATGTGTTTTTCTTATAATTGTTATATTTGATGCTAGGTTCTCATTCAGGATTGTGCGGTCTAATTATTGAGGTCCCGTCACATTCATCTATTCCAGTAAAACCAGTTGCTATGGTGAGGACTTATGTTTCAGTGTCATGGTAACGAGTCTCATTGTCCACAGCGGCCAGCGCTCGGTAACACTAGACTCGTCATCTACAGATCATCAGTGAGACAAGCGCTCTGGTCCCAATGTCTGAAGAGTCATTTCCGGAGAACTATGAGGAGGAGCAGGGCGGGTGTGTTGTGGATAGACACCCCACACAGTACTGGTGCAGAAAAGAGAGAAGACATTTCCACCCACACTTACGAATTTTACCCCCATCCTGTGGATCGAGATGCTCTTGGGCCGTTATTACCCCTAAACACAAGGAGAAACGGCACTTTGAAGATGCCGGTAAGTCCACACAAAACTGATTTTAGTGTTTGGTTAATGCTAAGGGATGAATCACCTACCGGACTCCTTTATCTCATGGAGAGGTCATTCATGAGAGCTACAGATGGGTTTCCAGGTCCATCCACCTGCCTGGGCCGCAATGGAGAAGGCTCAGGGATCCGCTATGGGGCCCCCTGGGGGCCCGGCCAGGACATCCCCCTGATGCCGTGCGGGTCGCCTGGGTCGTTGTGGCATTTCAAGCTTCCAGATGAAGGATTTTAAATCTGTATCTGTTTGTTTGCAGGTAAAGGACATTTGGTGTAACCAGTATTAGAAGTATAAATGCATCTATGAGAGTTGGAGAAATGTGCACTGCCATCAACATTCGTAGATGTCCTCCATGGAGATCTCCCCACGATCATCACTTTCCTCTCATCGAATTCCTAAGTCATGCACAATAAATCTGATTTGTGTCCTTCGTTGGTTTTATTTTTAGTCACTAACAAGGACAGCTATATTGATAGACTTGTACATAACTGAACAAATAAGTTCTGGCACAAAGAGGGCTCTTCTATAGTGTAGAGATGATATTGCTCTCCAGTGGATACCGTAGTGTTACTTCACACTGTGGCTTGCATTTTACCTCCCTCCTGTCTAATGCAAGCTGGGCTGTGAAGCAGCTTCACGCAATGTTCGCTCTGCAAAGGAGAAGCTGGTCATTGGAGGAAACGGTGGTTATATGACTTTGACAGGTTACATGACCAGGCTATGAAGCAGACGGGGCACAGTGTTCAATTGCAAAGCACACCGCTATGGCCATGCAGCTTCTTTATAAATAGAGCCCAAGGTGTTTCTTCGCTCACACCAATTAAGCCCGGTTACAGGTGGGCCTAGATGTGCTCAGTGGACTGGGATGTCCACTCAGAGATAATACTGCTACTAAAATATGTCCTATACCTGGGGGTAAAGCAAGCTAATGATGGGGCTTTTCTTGCCCAACACCCCTTAAAGTGGAGACAGGAGATATGAGGACAGAGTGGCATGAGGGCCAAACTTGCTAGTCTTTTGGTGTGCAAACCAGGATGAGTATAGATCACTGTGCTAAAAACAGATGCAGGAACACTTCGGCGCCCAAGGAGGCAAGCGCGTGATCCAAAGCGGAGCCGAGGTCAGCCAGGCAGCGCGGGAAAGAATCAGTAGGTGGAGGTTGTAAGAAAAATTAGGAATGACCGTCTCCATAATGCTGCATATGATTTCAGTCTGTTGGCCAGATTTCCAGGCAGCATTTGTATTTCCTTAAGGTAAAGTTGTGTAGTTTGATGGGCTGTTTGTTTTCAGACACTGCAGGTGATGACAGTGAAACCACACTAGCACAGAATAGGAGGAAAAAGAACTGTAACATAACTGAAATCGGAAGCTATAATTAGACTCTTCCTCCGGCATGCAGCAGATAAAATCACACAATGACTACAATGAAACAGACTGCATCCTTGAAGATTTTGATGACTGGGCCGGCAGATATAAAAGGCGCACATAAATGCAGCGCTCTTTTGATTAAGACCATTAACTGTATCTTTTTCACATGCAAGCACCTGAATTTGACTTAATATTATCCCTTCTGCAGTCCTTATACAGCAGAGATCATGCTGGAAAAAGGAGAAGCAGCACAAAGAGACAATTAGTTGTGCTGCAGTGCTCATGTACTAACAAGGGACGTGCTGATAGGAGAGCAGTGTGACAGAGAGATGAGCTCATCAGACTGCTGCTTCTTCTTCTTTCACTGTTCAGTCACAGGCTGAAGGAGAGGCTGTAAGTTACTAAAATGCAGTAGAGAAAAATCAGGTCTACTGCTCTGCTAGACAGTGCTTTGCAGAAATGTGTGGCAGAGATGTCCCAGGGCTGGAAAAAACACATGCGGTAATAACAGTGCTGACAAGCAGGTACTTTGTGGTAATTGCAAGTACACGCATTAGTCTTTAAATCAATCCCAATGCCTTTTGGATCCCCCTATCCTATGCCCAGGCTGTACACTCTGTACAGCTCTAACCTGTAGGTAAAGGTCTGTTCTAGTCAGGTACAATCATTCCTGTTTCTATGAAGAAAAGGGAAGACACTCCTTAGCGCACATGTATGTACATTCCAGCGGGTCTTGGTGGAGCAGTGGTGGTTTGAGCACACTGTCAGCTTACACACTGAAAAACTTTATTGCTGCCAATAATTACATTTTTACATGTTCTTTTACAACTATCTCACTTCTCCCAATTCTGTATTTTGAGCCACAGATGCAGTGTCTCTCCCTTCATGGTGGAGGGTAAAATGAGTCCTGCACAAAGCTTCTGAAGAGCATTCACCTAGTTGTTCCAAAAATCTGAAGAATGAATTCTGCCGAAGGTTTATTTATTCAACTTGTGATTCATTTTCTGGAAGAGCCGCAGTGCGTTATGCGTCGTTGCCTCCCAAACTGTCTCCGGAGAAAGACCTTTCACTTGGGCAATATATTCGCAGGGGATGTGGATATTCCATGGGACATTTCTTTCCTGAAGCAAACAAGAACACTGATTAAAAGCCAACTCTAAATAAAGCTTATGTGACAGTTTAGAGTAGGGACAAGCTCAGTGTCAGATCAGAGCAGTTCCAAGCCTGAGCCCAGGAGGGACATGGGACCACACGGCCAATCGGCTGCAGGAGGGGGCATTCCACCCTTCCTTAGTTGCACATAAACAAAGGGGTGGGATGCTTGTGCTCACATCATTGATGTTATATGACCACATTGACCAAATGTAGCCATGTTGCCATATAAGACCAATGACGTTACATCATCCTGCTCCTTTGCTTACATGCAACTGTGGGCAGGGAATTCCATGGCCACAGCTGATTGGGCTACAGCAGAAGGAGCTTACTTGTTTGGAGGAGCTCAGGCTCCAGAGGGTACGGTCGAAACCTGAGCTCAACCCTACTTTAGAGTGTCACTGGTTTGTTCATATATCTCAGGAACTCAATTTGAAAGACACCTTAAGCAATTCCATGTACACCCAACTACTGCAGTTATTACAAGGCCAAATAATGGTGTTACAACTTCTGTAGGTCTCTCTGTAATGCAGAACTAACAAATAATTGAGGAGTCTGGGTGTGAGACAATAATTACGGCTTTGTAGGAAAAGAAGCCAAACTATGGCATGAAAGTTTCTCACCATTGAGGACCCAAAAGATATAAGAAACCAATGGATAATTCAGACCTCCAGTGCCTACTCACTCCGGTTTTGTGTGCAGTTTGACTTAATGAGATGCGCTGGTGGAAAGCAAAAGCTAAGCCTTGAAATCTATACAAGAAATATAATGGGGGAAATTTATCAAAACTGGAGCAGACAAAATCTGGAGCAGTTGTCCATGGCAAAACCAATCAGCTTCTCTCTTCAGTTTGTTGAGTTAAGCGTTGAAAATGAAAGGTGGATGCTGATTGGTTGCCATGCACAGCTGCCCCAGATCTTGTCTGCTCCAGTTTTGATCAATTCCACTTAATGTTCCTTTGATTTGTTTCCTTTGTGAGCGAACAGTTGACAAACTCCCGTCTATATCAATACTTTTTTGGAGTCCCTTTCTATGGATGTGTTTACTCTAGGGGTGCACCCATCACTTTATTTGTTTATACTCTAGCGGAGTGTAATCCTTATCTGTATGTTTTGTTGGTGTGCATGTATGTTAGATGTCAACATTTAGACATTTTATTCTAATTGTCAAATAAACTATATATATTTTTATACTATTAGTAGTGCATATTTGGAGTAATGGTGGGATCTTTTTGAATGGGGATTTGTTTCGATATTTAATGTTCCCACCTGAGACTTGTGTTTCTCATGCTGGCAAAACATTTGGCCACCTCACTTATTACCTTGTTGACATTAGTAGGGTATTCTGGGAACACCAGATTTATTCCCCACTCTGCAGCACTCAGCTATTCATTTGGCTTTCTTAAAACATGTCTTCAGCCAAAAAATTTTTTTAGTTCTGTTCAGCCAATAAAAGGATTAGAACCTGTTTTAGATTTTTTTCACAGTCTATGTCTCTATTTTGGCCGTCACCCTCTTTATTCATCCTGCTGACCATTGTCATCAAGACTGAAAGTTGTGACAAGTACAGGAAAAGAAGGGAAACCTTCAGTGGGGACACCTGTTCCAGTGACAACTATCCAAGATGGGATTCCCTTTCATTCCCGTCATGTCTATAGGACAGGAAGTAAAGGAAAATCTCCCCAATAGGACACAGATGGCAAAATAACAGACATGGTTTTTATTACCTCCTACTCTATGTAAATCTAGAAAAAACTTTTGGCTTTAGCTATACTTCTTATCTGTGGATGCCTAAGGCCCCTTTCAGTGGTGGACCGATCAGGTCCACCTGTCATATTTTCAGATTGATCTGATCGGAATTCCAATGTTAGTCTATGGGCCGCCTGATCTAACAGACATGCGTCTGTTTACATCTGATTAATGAATACATATCTTGCTACACATGTCATTCTGAGGCTGATGAAGGGGACCCAGATTGGCCCCAGTGGCATAACAATCACCATAGCGACCCACGCGGCCGCTTTGGGGCCCCGGCCAGGACATCCCCTGATGCTGTGCGGGCCGCCTGGGTCGCTGTGGCATTTCAGGTTGCTGGCTGTCACTGGCCGGGCGTGAGGAGAAACACGCAGCCATTCACATGTGCAGCGGCGCGTACCTCCTCACAGCTGCTAAGTCGATGACAACCAGCAGCTTCGGGGGAGGTGGTCGGTGCCCGTCGTCGGCAGCGATGGAGGAGGCGGGGCCCAGCGATCAAGGAGGGAGGTCTTAGCGATGGGGAGGCGGGCCCGGCGATCAAGGAGGTGAAGGCCCAGTGACAGAGGAGGTGCGATCGTGGAGGAGAAGGAGGCAGACAAGGGATCGGCCAGGCAGGTAAGAGGGCTTGACCGCCCACCTGAGACTCTGCAGAGCTCACCATAGAGGGTCTATGGTGGGCTCTGCAGGGTCACCCTCAGGTGGGCTGTTATCAGGTGGACTTATCTAGAAATCACAGGGCTCCATACAAGATTTTGCTATGGGGTCCTGTGATTTCTAATTACGCCCCTGTATGGCCCCGAAAGCGCTAGTATATGAATGGCAATGTTCCTTCAATAAATGGACTTTTGCTAATTTTCACTCAATGCTGGTGTGCTGATGACATTCTTGAAAATTTCTGTTTACATCTGATGAGCCCTAACTCCGTCCAGGCCCGGAAAACCAAACGGAACAGAGTTCCTTTATGGCTGAACCTGATCATGATGAATTGAGGGTAATCTGATGTAAATGGACACTTCTCTGCTTATATCCAACTCCCCATAGACCTAACATGGGTCTGCTAAGGATGTCACAACAGCGACATCTGTTCTGAACTGCTTCCATCAGCAGGAGATCTGTGTAGAGATACCCTGCTAATCGGAACTGACAGGCACCCGTGTGAAAGGGGCTTTATGAAGCAGAAGAGGGCAATGATGTAGTGCAAGAGAGCAAAGCTGTACTACTCAGGGCAAAGTAACGGGTTTAATTGAACCTGACCTTATTGCTGACACTTACCTTTGCCACTTTACCCCATTTGCCTGCTGAAGCCCGAATAATAAGCCCTGAGTAAAATGAGGGTCAGTCTAAATCAGAGCTTAGACATTATTAAGGTCCTTTTCACTTATTGAACAATAATTGGGCCTGACAGTTGGTTACTCAATTATTGAACACTGCACAATGGGCGAAAGGGGACAGATCCATGTGGACCCCACACGCAGATATACTGGGTATTTCACAGGGCATCAAGGGGCAAGTGCAGCGGCACATCATCGCAGAGAAGGTTAAGTACCAGCATCAGAGGGTACAGGCTATATTACATTTTTGTTCTTAGGTTTAGATGCACTTCAAGAAGATTTTAAATGTAAAACCAAAATATAAAATTCAAATAGTGTTACAAGATGCATGTTTGTTCCAGATAACTATATACAGTATTAGTGCCTTGACCTCATCTGACATTTGTGCATTTAGCATATGCAGTCTGTATTTTCTTACCTCTCTGTTTGGCCCGAGTGCCGGTGAATCTGTCTCTAAGCAGATGTTCTCCAGCGGGATCTGTCGTATTACCTTCTCTCTCTGGAGTTCGGAAACAATGAAGCATAAAGCAATTGTAGCTTTTAATAATCACGGCTCATAATTGAAAGTGAGAGATGCAGCAAGGCTGCACTGCAGAATCAGACCTGATCACAAGCAGGCAAAGGACAGTGTTCCCAGTAATCCACAATATGTAGGCCTCCATTGCTGCTGGCTGCCTGAATTATATTCTGATACGCCAGCATGCAACAAGCATGCCATTTAGGAGAGTCAGAGCAAAGTCAGCTCTCCTGATCTACTTATTCATCCTGAGTCAATGGGGTTGGCAAAATAGGGTGTTAACTTTGCAAGGGAATCTGCACTCTGCGGGGGAAGTTTCCCTTAGCTTTGTGAATGTGGTGTAACTTCACTTTGTAACGAATACCCAATCATGTGCAAGAAAAATTTAAAAAACAGCATTTTTCCTTGAACAGCTTCCCCTCATTCACAAAACTAAGGGCGAACTTCCCCTGCTACGTGCAAATTCCCTTGCAAAGTGAACAGCCTATTTACCTTTAGTAAATCAACCCCAATGACTCAGAAAGTATTGGAGCCATTGGACTGCATGGCAGCCAGGGAACTGGCACTTGCTGAAGTTATCACGATTACTTTTGTTTACTGCTGCCATCTTTATCCTTGCTTCACTAATTAGTGTGTCACAACACCAAACAAGTATGCAGCCATTGCTGTCTTAACCACTTCAAGACCAGGTGTTTAGACCCCCTTCCTGGCCAGGCCATTTTTCAGTATTCAGCGCTGCGGTACTTTGACTGACGTTTATTCCGTCATGCAACGCTGTACTGAAATGAATTTTATACCATTTTTTAGGGACAGATAGGGCTTTCTTTTGGTGGTATTTAATGACCACTAAGGGTTTTATTTTTTACATGTCTGAGCGGAGCGCCCGCTCAGATCTAGAGAGCTCGGGCCGGCCCGGAGGTGGTTAAAGTGTATCTATACCCAAAACCTTTTTTTTTTCATTTTGGATAGAGTGGAGAAGGATTAGAATCCCTGCCAGGTTTTACTGCCACCAGGGCTGGATTTCCCACAAGGCCAACCAAGGCACGGCCTTGGGGCAGAAGGGAGTAGAGGGGCAGCAGGAGTGTGGAATTCCTATCTCCCGATGCCCGGGACATGCAGTTCCGGGTGCTGGGCGGGTAGTTGTTTTCTAAATTTAGCCCTTCTTTGGGCAAGCAGGGCTAAATGTACAGCTTGTTTTGTACAAGTGATCTTGGCAATGTCACCAAGATCACATTGAAGAACCTGGCCTTGGGGCAGCAGAGAGAGTAAATCCGGCCCTGACTGCCCCCTGGGGCTCTGTTGGAGAGATTAAATTCCTGCCTGGTAAAAATGTTGTTGCCAGGACAGGAAATAAGTGGAAATCTCTCTAACACCAACCCAGACAGAAGTAAAAATGTTTTTGTTGTTTTAAAGTAGGGAAATGTTAAAACCTCTGTCAGCTTTTTATTGTCGTCTGTTCCCTTGCTGCAGATTTTTCCTCACTTCCTGTCTGGTAAAATGTTGTCTCCAGAACAGGAAGTGAAGGAAAGTCTGTCAACATAGCCCAGGACAGTAGGGGTTCATACCTTTCCCCAGTATATCCAAAACTTAGTTACATAGTTACATAGTATTTGAGGTTGAATAAAGACATAAGTCCATCAAGTCCAACCTATTGTGTGTATGCATTTATGTTTGAGCAGGTGTGTGCGTGTGTATTAGTCCATGTGGGATTTTGCTCTTAAAATATGTTTTGGGTATAGTTGCATTTTAATGTCTAACCAGCAGCATACCTTTTCCAGGTGAATAATTCATTAAAGTCCAGTTCCAGACACAGCAGTGATGTGCTGGGTCCTCTTCCTTTTTTGGTCTTCACCAAGCAGTGTCTGGTCTTTAATTCTGCAGAAAGTGGCTATGTGAGGTGCCAGTGTTGCCCTCTGTACAGTAAATGCAGGGCACAGTGGTGACTCCCCGCAGGGGTTGGGCCCATTACGCCCTGCACTCACACTATGTTACCGGTCTCTTGAGTTAATTGGCACAGGACATCATTCAACCTAGAAGACTGAAGAGCCAGAGGCGGCTCTCTAATTAGGCGAGTTAGGCGGTCGCCTAAGGCCTCGCGCTCACGAGGGCCTCGCGGCCGATTAACTCACTTCTGAAGATTCACCGCACCTGACTCTGGCAAGTCCGTCCCTGGGCAGAGGGGAGCTGCATGTTCTTTACTACTGAACTGTGTGCTTCTTTCTGCACTCTGCGCGTTCCTTACTTCTGCACTCTGCGCGTTCCTTACTTCTGCACTCTGCGCGTTCCTTACTTCTGCACTCTGTGCGTTCCTTACTTCTGCGCTCTGTGCGTTCCTTACTTCTGCACTCTGTGCGTTCCTTACTTCTGCCCTCTGTGGGTTCCTTACTTCTGCCCTCTGCGCGTTCCTTACTTCTGCACTCTGTGCGTTCCTTACTTCTGCCCTCTGTGCGTTCCTTACTTCTGCCCTCTGTGCGTTCCTTAATTCTGCCCTTGCGCGTTCCTTAATTCTGCCCTCTGCACTTTGTGCGTTCCTTACTTCTGCACTCTGCGCGTTCCTTACTTCTGCCCTCTGTGCGTTCCTTACTTCTGACCTCTGTGCGTTCCTTACTTCTGTGCGTTACTTCTGCCCTCTGCGCGTTCCTTGTTTCTGTACTCTGCGTGTTCCTCAATTTTGCCCTCTGCGTGTTCCTCACTTTTGCCCTCTGCGTGTTCCTCACTTTTGCCCTTTGCGTGTTCCTCACTTTTGCCCCCTGCGTGTTCCTTACTTCTGCACTCTGTTTTTCTCTCAATTTTAGGGTGTCTCACCAGTCAGTCAAAAATGTCACCAGTCAGCATGACAGGACTATCGGCCTTGCAATTTATGGTAAAAATCACCACTGGGGGTTTTACTTTTTTACTATAAAATGAAAAAAGTACCGTAAATTTCACACAAAAAAAATGTGTCCCTATGTTATGTTATAAAACATTTATTCTTACCCTTATTTGTGGTAAAATATCAAAGCCGGGGTCACGTTGGCTGAATAGACACCAAACATGTCAAGCTTTAAAATTGCGCGCGCCTGCGATATCGCAGCAAACAACCACACTGAAAACTGACCATAGGCGACGCTTAAAACACTTATATTGCTCATCAGTTTAGTGTTATCGTTGATTAATGACCCTACAGTTATTGCTCTCACTCCAACGTTTGCGGTGATGTATAACATGTGCGGCACAAAAGGTGCAATTGTTGTATTTGCACGTAGGCACACCCAAAGCATATCTGCGTGTGTACGTGGGGGGCTTTAAAAAATTGTGTGTGTTTTTTTAAACTTTATTGCTATCACATAGGGGGCTAAGTAGCCCCCTATGTGATAGCCAATTTACATGACAGACCCTCTTTATGTAGACATCAGGGTTCTACAAAACCCCTAATGTCACCTAGGGACGCACCAGAGATCTGCTTCATCAGCTCCTGTAGCTGGACTGTGACACTGAAGGCAGGAAGTGATGTAATAGTCTAAAGCCGCCTCTGCTGAAGACATCCTGTAGCAAAAAAAAAAAAAAGAGTACTGCGGATAACAGCACTGGAGTGAAGTTTATAATTTCTATCATTCTAATCAAGGCAACACTGACTATGCCAGCTCACAAAAAAAAAAACGCCTAAGGCCTTGTTCATACCAAATGCAGACCAGATCCAGAGCAGGTAAAATAGGGCTTGCCGCATTTTTTTCACCTGCTCTGGATCTGATCTGGATCCGCACGCTGCGATGTGAACTGGAGGTCAAAATACCATAGGAATACATTGGACGCAGTTTTGATCCGGTCTGCACCTGCTCTGGTCTGGATCTGCTCCGCGCTTGGTGTGAACAAGGCCTAAAAAGTTCAGATTTAGCAGGATTGTACCACAATGCAACATGCTACAAAACAAATACTAATTTGTAATATAATTACAGTATTTGGTTTATTCGTCAATTTTGTCAAGTTTGCAACTTTTGGTGGGAGTAACTGGGGTAGATCTACCAACAACCATGCCGTGCTCGGGCCTTCCATAAACAATCCACTCAATGTACTGTATATCCAGTCAAGCAGGCCCTTACACTACACTCACTAATTACTAGTTGTAGGAGACTGTAGGCACACTTAGGCCCAGCACACGGTATCAGCAGTAGGAATCAGGCCTACAGAAACCTATTCCTGTATGATGAGCCCTCCCTACCATCTTGTCTCGAACTGTATTGTAATTATAATGTCTTCCCTATATTGTAAAGCGCTGCGCAAACTGTTGGCGCTATATAAATCCTGTATAACAATACTAATAATGAGAGACTTCTCACATACCTTCTGCCTGCAATGAGGTCAGCTGTGTAAGGGCAGGCCAGGCAGGGCAATGAAGCTGCTTCGGGTTTGGAAACCCCATACTATTTTGTCCCAAAGCAGATGCATGGTTTACTAATGCCATAGCTATACTAATATCTTACCTGATTATTTTTCGTAACTGCAGGGGGAAAGGAGAAGAAGTACCCGGCCTTCACACCATCCAAGGCAGCTGAAGGTCGGCCGGCAAAATTGTGTAGCAAAGCTTTCTCAATTCCTGGAATGTTTACAGGAACATGTCAATGCCGGCATTCATTAAACCATCTTTCTCGATATCTTTCATTTGATATCACTTAATTAGGCTATGCAAATATGCAAAAAATAAAATACAATGTGACTGGCAACTAGAATACTGCTGATGCCATATAATCCTCCTGTGTCAGTAGAAGTCTAATGCCAGCTGGAAGCTGTTAAAGGAGAACTATGGGGTCAGTGTTTTTCCCCATAGTTCTCCTTAGAGTAACGGAAGGACACAAACCAGCGTCCTCCCGTTACCCTAAGTTCAGTATACCGCGAGCTACAGCTTGCGGTATACTGAGACGCCGCACCTGGAGCGGATCCCGACTTAGATGACGGGATCCGCCCAGCTGCGTGAGTGACAGCTGGCTCTGCCTATCTAGAGGCAAAGCCAGCTGTACCCGCCCCCTCCCCCGTCCGTTCCGCCAGTCAGCGCTGGCAGATCGGAGCGGGGAGAGGGGAATCCAGCCCCTCCCCCTGTCACGGCAGAGAGCCGTGACAGGATCGAGAGGTGAGGGAACCCGGTATGTGTTTGCTCACCTCCCGATCTACTGAGCCGACCTGTGACAGTCTCATTGTCACAGGTCGGCTAGAACTATGAGGTGAGTGGAAATCACTCATCTCATAGTTCTCCTTTAATTCTGAACTGTGATTTCTCAGTCCAAAGAAGGACAGTGGGAGAAAATCTATTGTATTTTTGCACTGGGTTCTCTAAACACATGTGAGAGGAAAATTCAAAACTAGCTTGCACAGAAACCAACTACAGCTCTACAGCTTCCACTTAACAGTGCAGAGAAGGTGATCCTGGTCCATATAACTCTGGCTACCGTTGCTGATAATGCTTTAACCCTTTTGCTGCCAAGGACGTATGGCATACGGACCTACAAAAGTGCTTCCAGCTGGCCAGCTAAGTATGCCATACGGACCTGGCATTTACAGTTCTACTATAAGCTTTACTATACTATAGTAGAACTGTTCAGCAGACTGTCCCCTTTAAATTAATAGCTGTCATCAGCAGTGCACGGATTGAAAATCAAACCAATAGGAAAAAATTGCAGAAAATTCAAAAATGGCTTGGCCAGCTGATTTGAAAAATGTTCCGGAGGGCTTGGCAGCGAAAGGGTTAAAGGAGAACTATGAGGTGAGTGATTCAATTAAACTGTCACACATCGGCTCAATAGATCGGGAACTGATCGTGAGCGAACACATGCCGTCGCTCGCTCACTTCTCGAACATGTCCATGCAGAGAGCCGTGACTGTCACTCACGGCTCCCGCAGGGATTCCCCCCCCCTCCCTGCTCCGATCCTCCAGCGCTGACTGGCGGAATGGACGGGGGAGGGAGCGGGCACAGCTGGCTCTGCCTCTAGATAGGCAGAGCCAGCTGTCAATCACGCAGTTAGGTGTATCTCGTAAGTAATGTCGGGATCCGTCCCGGGTGCGGCGGTCTCAGTATACCGCGAGCTGTAGCTCGCGGTATACTAAGCTTTGGGTCACGGGAGGACGCTAGTTTATGTCCTCCCGTGACCCATAGGAGAACTATGGGGAAAAGCACTGACCCCATAGTTCTCCTTTAAGCTTAATGGCCCATTCACACCATTACGCTTTATGTGCACTACAAGGCAGGATCACAGTGCACTAAAAACACGATATGTGTTTCCAAACATAATGGTGTAAATAGACCCTTTGTCATATAGCTCCTATAGTGTCCTTTATGTGCACTGTTTAACATCCCCTCTTTCCCCCAAAATCACGGTAATGATAACTAGTGGGTGACTCCAATCTGCTGACTAGACAATAAAAGAGCAGCAGTATTTTAATAACTTCATCCCATTGCTCTCCACTCCTCTAAGCATGTATAGTGTTAGGCTGGCAGCACTGTGCAAAGCAATACACCAAGCTCAAAAGTGCTCTGAAATATTCAGGGATAAAAGATATAACAGTCAGTCCAAAAACAGAACGGAAACTGCAGAATCTGTAGATTTGGGACTTCTCCATCCAATAATGTTATAACTTTAAACTATTCGGTAAGTCTTACCCTGTTCTTTCAAGAATTCTATTGTTTGTCTTCCAGCTGAGCGGGAATGGACATTTCTATTAAAGTCAAAATTGAATGTTAAAAAAAAGTTAATGTTAGAAAGAAAAAACACTCAAAACCAAAAGGCAGAGAGACAAGTGTCTGTCCTTGAACCCTGTGAAAGCCACCTTGGCATTCTGCATGAATTGGCTGATGCTGATAGCAAGACATAAGTGGTCATACTTCCCTCCAACTTCTTCCTTGAAGAAGGAAAAAAAAATCAGTTTCCACTTCCACAGAGGTTTACTGTTGTACATCTAGCCCAAGCCTCCAAGTACAGATGAGCCAAAACTAATGAGGTTTGCATTTCTGGGGCTGCGAAGGAGTTCAGGTCAGGCCACCTGGTACTTTAAGACTCCTTGATACAGCCTGCTAATTGCTATGCACATCAAACATCTGATTGTAGGAAAAAGAATGACTATTATCATCAGACAACCTTCCCTTCACCCAATCTGCCTATCTCCAGTGCATGTCATAAAATGCCAACGGATTTGTAATTCTCATCATCAGCTATTTTACTTGACTGTTACTTTTACTATTACTATAACATTTTCATTTTACAAATAGATATTATGTACAGGGTGCAACCACGCCAATGGTGTCACATCTTCTAAAGAAAAAGCATAAAGAAATTGTTTGCTTTCAGACTTTCTCTCTCTAACTGAATCTCCATAGGACCTGTTTGAACAGAGCAGGTAGGGGAGGAGGGGAGAGGTATAAATTACTGTTATGTCTCATTCAGTTGTTTGTGTATACTGTAGTTTGAGCTATAGAGCTCTGTAAGCAATACAAAAAAGCAAAGCAGATAAAAGAAACTATGATGTGTTCAGTTTTTTTTAAATGGATGATTTACATTTATACTATATACTGTAGATTTAATCTTTCATTTAGAAATAGGCATATAACACATGACTCGGGACTTCCTGAGCATTATGTGTTATCTGAAGGAAGTGTACATTAGCAGTCATCTCTTTTCAGGCAATGCTGACTCTCTGAAACTTTAGACAGAGAGATTCAGGAGGGAGGGGGAGTGAAGAGGGTGGAGACACTGCTCTCACTTCTTCAATTGTGTGTGTACATTTAAGTTTCAACTTTTAAGGTCTGAAACCGGTAGGCTTTTTCTACACAAAAATATGCAAAGAAAAATGTGAAAACGAGCCTAAAAAGTATTTTTTTTTGCCTTGGACATAATAGACAAAAGAAAATATAATTCCCTTTAAGACACATTTCAGACGTCTATACTGACACAGGCAGATCCCATTGTTTTGCAAAATCCAGTTGTAGTTTTAAAACCTTCAGCTGCTCTTCTCTCTCTTTAGCAGTTGGAGTAAGCCAAGGGGTGAAGTCTAAGCCAACCTAAGGAAAAGAAAATTGACAAATGAAAAGAAATGATAAATAGAGATGGATGCTATATTAATCACAGATGAAAAAAAGGAATGCAGCCCGTCCGTTCAATAAGATGCTCATTAAAAACCGAAGTGCATTTTTATGTATGAATGACTTTACTATATCCTTAACTGACATATGGATAGTTCCAGCATGCTACTTTTGTGTAAAGCACAATGATCAATCTGCCCATGCTACAGCAGCAGGAATGCCTTGCATTTAGGGCCTCTACACCATCCGATGTGCTATGCTGGGACCGGTGCCCTATGTGTACAATTGGTTGTATTTACACTAGTGACCCTGACACTGGCGAGAACTCAGCAGCAACAGAATGTCTCAAATGTGCAGGGATAATTGTTAGGATCCAAAGCGCCTCCAGGTGGCACTGGAGCTAAGCCTGCAGTTCCTGTGCTCACTTGCAGGTGTCTCCAGGAAGCCAGGAACTGTTAGGTACCAGACCACCACTGGGTAATGCTGGAACCTGCAGCTCCAGTGCTCACCTGCGGGTGTCTCCCAGGTGCCAGTACTTAGCCATCACCTGGTGCTTCCTGGGAGGATATTTAAACCCTCCCTGCAGTCAGGATGATGGCTCAGTAGCCTGCTATCATTTCCTGTGTGTCCCGAACCCTGTTACCTGTTTAAAGTCCGGAGCCCTGTACCCTGTTTGCAGTCCTGAACCTTGTTCCCTGTGTGCAGTCCTGAACCTTGTTCCCTGTGTGCAGTCCTGAACCTTGTTCCCTGTGTGCAGTCCTGAACCTTGTTCCCTGTGTGCAGTCCTGAACCTTGTTCCCTGTGTGCAGTCCTGAACCTTGTTCCCTGTTTGAAGTCCTGAACCTTGTTCCCTCTTTTGCAGTCCTGAACCCTGTTCCCTGTTTTGCAGTCCTGAACCCTGTTTTGCAGTCCTGAACCCTGTTTGCAGTCTTGTTACCTGTTTTGCAGTCCTGTTGTTAATACAAATAAACTGTATATAAACACAAACTGCCTTGTCCGGTGTGGTCATACGTGTTTGGTCAACCTGTGTGGGTACCTGTATACGGTGTGGGGACACCTGTGCCGGTACCCCTGACAATAACACTCCATTGCATATATTATACCCACGCTGCTTGAATGAGCGAGAGAGCAACAAATATAAACCGGTAAGTCTTGAAATTCCAATGTAGAGCCGCAAATCCGACAGTTCATAAAAGGATCAGATTAATTGAAAGTTCATACCATCCAAGTACCCAGCAGAATCATCCCACACTAATCCTACAGCCTCCAGAGGGTCTAGATTGGCGTGGGATGATTTTGTTGTGTACTTGGATGGTATGAACGTTCAATAAATCTGATTCTATTATGAGCTGTCGGATGTGCGGCTCTACGTTGGAATTTCAGGATTTTGTTATGCCAGCACTTATGTTTGAAGTCTGTGCCTGAGTGGCGTGACTGGTTGGGTCGGTGTTGTCTGACTTTGGGGATTGAGCAGTGTATATTTTGAAATTCAATGACAAACCAGTATGTGTTTCAGTGCGCTGCTGTGTTCTCTCCATTACCAGGATCACTAATGGTGGTAACACTACTTGGTGCTTAGCACATGAGCATTACAATATGTACGCTTTTTCCCAAATGAAAATCACATTCATGATTAGAATTTTTGTTGTCCAGATAAGAAGCGAGAAACATTTTCCACCCTGTTCCTTAGATTTTCCTCGTCACTACAGCCAAAATGAATGTCAATTGGACCCAACAGACCATTGGAAAATCGAGCAACTGTTCAGAAAATTAAAATTTCCAATGAAACTCTCCTGTTTTATGGCCAGCTTAACAGAAAAGTGTGCTGGGGAATTTTGTACTGGTTTGTATATTGTGATAGCCATGAGTACCTTTCATTGTTTGCTAGTTTTAAGTTGACCTAAGAGGCTGCCATTCTTGCTTTGCTGAATCTGCCTGACACAAAAGTGGCCGTGTACAAGGACCATTGTGCAACCTTTTGACAATATCACACTCACTGGTTGGAGCAGATACAAACTACTGCAGGGCATAGTAGTTTATGAAAGGTATAAGAAGTTTGAGGTTGCCAGTTTTAAATACCAGTTTTGGTCAAACAGTTTAAAGGAGAACTACGAGGCGAGTGCTTTTCACTCACCTCATAGTTCTAGCCGACGTGTCACAATGAGACTGTCACAGGTCTGCTTAGTAGATCGGGAGGTGAGCGAACACATACCGGCGTTTGCTCGCCTCTCGATCCTGTCACAGCTCTCTGCCGTGACAGGGGAGGGGCTGGATTCCCCGCTCCGATCCGCCAGCGCTGACTGGGGGAACGGACGGGGGAGGGGGCGGGTACAGCTGGCTCTGCCTCTAGATAGGCAGGGCCAGCTGTCAGTCACGCAGCAGGGTGGATCCTGACATAATTGTCGGGATCCGCTTCAGCTGCGGCGTCTCAGTATACTGCGAGCTACAGCTTGCGGTATACTGAGCCTAGGGTGACGGGAGGACACTAGTTTTCGTCCTCCCGTTACCCTAAGGAGAACTATGGGGAAAAGCCTAAACCCCATAGTTCTCCTTTAAGGACCAAAGCAATTTTTGCTATGTGTGTGTTCAGATGCAATTTCCATCTTTCTCATTTATTGCACCAACTGACGGGGAGGAGGCGGGTACAGCTGGCTCTGCCTCTAGATAGGCAGAGCCAGCTGTCACTCACGCAGCTGGGCGGATCCAGACATAATTGTCGGGATCCGCTTCAGCTGCGGCGTCTCAGTATACCGCAAGCAGCAGCTTGCGGTATACTGCGGCGTCTCAGTATACCGCGAGCTACAGCTCGCGGTATACTGAGCCTAGGGTGACGGGAGGACGCTAGTTTGTGTCCTCCCGTTACCCTAAGGAGAACTATGGGGAAAAGCCTTAACCCCATAGTTCTGCTTTAAGGGTATATTTATAAAAGATTCACAGAATGAACAGCTCTGCGAACGTCTGAGTTTTAGATTCAGGGTGCTTTACAGCCGCTAGATGGCGCCAAGGAGCAAAGGAAAGTCCTATACTCCCTGGCTCCACCTGGTGGTTGCGAATTAAAAAATCAGATGATTGCAGAGCTATTCGTTCTGCGAAACGTTTCATAAATACATCCCAGTTTGGCCAAAACTAATATTTAAAACTGGCAACCTCAAACTTCTTATACCTCTCATAATCCACTGTCCTGCAGTAGTTTATATCTCTGCTCCTCCCACACTGTAGTAATGAAGGTGTCACCCCAATTTTTGTTTATTCAACACTAGGGATGCACCGATACCGGTTTTTCGGTATGGAATACGAGTACCGATACTTATTTTTCGGTACTCTTCGATACCGAGTACCGATACCGGTACTTCCGGTAGCATAGAGCCGTCTTCCCGGGCAATCAGGAAGGTTACTTGATTTGCCGGGAAGCCGACTCCATTCTTTTTGGTCGGCTGGATGCTTATTGGCCGGGAAGCCGGCTTCCCAGCCAATTGGCATCGAGGCCGGCCAAACAGATCTAACTATATGGCGACACGACCCCCACCCTGCAGGCACCTAATTCCCCTCACATAGATCCTTAGCATTCTTTAACGTACCAGTTCCTCAGCCAGCTGGGCAGACACCGCTCTTCCGAATCTGCCCATGTCTCCTGTGTGTTCAGCGCCCACGTGATCGGCCCTCAGCCTGCTACTGCGCATGCGCAGACTGCCCAGCGCTCTCATTCAGAAATCCTGTGCATGCGCAGTAGCAGGATGAGCGCCGATCACGTGAGCGCTGTGCACACAGGAGATGCAGATCTGGCCGAGGGACTGTTACGTTAAAGAATGGCCCCAGTGCTGCAAGACAGAAGTGCTGCTACTAAGCCACTGTAACATTATGGTTTTACAAGCAACTATGTAGTGCAAGGGCCTACCTGACTGCCTGAAATTGAAGACCTGCACACAGGGGCGTAACTAGAAATCACAGGGCCCCATAGCAAAATTTTGTATGGGGCCCCGTGATTGCTAGTTATGCCACTTGCAGAGCCCACCATAGACCCTCTATGGTGGGCTCTGCAAGGTCTCAGTTGCGCTGTACGTCTCTTACCTGTCACCTCCGTGGTCGCCGCCGCCGGGCCCCTGCCTCCTCTTCCGTTCCCGGGCTCCGCCTCCTTCTTTCGCCTGGCCCCGCCTCCTCTTACATCACTGGCCCCACCTGCTCTTAGATCGCTGGCCAGTGATGTGAGAGGAGGCGGGGTTGCTGTTAGGCGGGCCCCGCCTCCTTCTTTACTGCAAATGCTGGTGTAAACGGCCTATTCTGCCGCATCTGCTGGCTGTCAGTGACACAGCTCCGCAGCGGCTGTGTGGGACAACGTTCTCCTTCACAGCAGCTGCTGAGCTATGTCAGTGACAGCCAGCACCCGAGACGCCATAGCGACCCAGGCGGCCCACACGGCATCAGAGGGATGCCGGGCCCCCCTGTGCAAGGGCCCCATAGCGGCCGCCTGGGTCGCTATGGCGATTGTTACGCCACTGCCTGCACACTACATAATGGTTAATAAAACTAAAGGAGATTGTACAATTAGACTATAAGTTGTAGAGTATCGGGGACTTTACACTTTTAAAAGTGTGCCTAGTCCTCCTAGCCCTGTTACATGGAAATTCTGAAGAAAACAGTTCCCTATTAATATTATCCAATCTGCCGGGTTGTGATTCAATGTAACGCTGCCACAGTTACACTTCCTTACCTCTCCTATAGCAACCAGATCCTTTTGGTACTTTTCAAACCACAAAAGGGCGGCTTCCAAATCCTTCAAACAAATAGACAATGAAGAAGACAGATGAAGACATTCATAGAACCAAAATACAGTGGGGGGAATTTATCAAAACTGGAGCAGACAAAATCTGGAGCAGCTGTGCATGCTTCTCTCTACAGTTTGTTCAGTTAAGAATTGAAAATGAAAGAGAGAAACTGATTGGTTGCTGTGCACAGCTGCTCCAGATTTTGTCTGCTCCAGTTTTGATAAATTCCCCTCAGAGTATTTTCAGTGAGTATAATTTGAGTCTCCATTACTTTAAGCGAGCACATACTTTAAATCATTATTGCAGCGTTTTCTTTACAGTGCTCTGCTAATGCATTTTGAATCGGAGCTAAAACTGGGCTATCTCCCTGCCCCATGGGAACGTGTTGGGCCAATCACCAATCCCAAGTGTTGTCACATGGGATGGGTCACATGCAGTGGCAGACCTAAGGAACAAAGGGCCCTGGTGCAAGATATTTTTTTGTCGTTTGTCGTTTTTCGCACGTAGGCGCTCCGACGCTTGTGTATCTGGGGGCGGGGGACTTAAAAAATGTTTTCACATTTTTTAATTTTTTTTTTATGTTACTTTAATTTTTAAATACTTTTTTTCTGTACACTAACCCTATTGGTATTACATAGGGGACTAACAAGCACCCTGTGTAATAGCAGATAGGGTGTGACAGGTCCTCTTTATGGAGGCATCAGGGGTCTTTTAGACGGAGGAGAGATCAGCGGCTGAATCTCTCTCTGATCATTGGCTCAGTGGCCACTGACTCAGTGGCCACTGCGCGGGGGGGGGTACCACATGGTACAAAGGATCCGGCGGATGTTCAGACACCAGATCGATTGTAAGTTACACAGCAATCGCCTGCTGTTAAAAGCAGTACCACTTCTGCAGGGCGCAGTCTATAGACGTACTGCGGCCCGGAAGTGGTTAAAGTGACATTAAAGTCAATTTTTTCCCCCTCCCCAATTTAATTGCCAGCACTTACCTTAACTGATGTCTCCTAATCCGATCTTCTTCTTTCCTGATGTTTTCATCTGTCCCTCCAGCGGTGCAGCGGGTCTCCCATCCAGCGCCGACTCCTCTGTCCTTGCTGGCACTTCCTGTCCCACGTTGTCTGCATGCTGGTGCACGCGTCCATAGACTTACCTTGTGTCTCTCCTCGTCTCCCGGACAAAAAATCCGAACTGCGCATGCGCCCGCCCCAAGATGCTTTGCGGCCACCTGAGCAGTTTCGGATTTTTGGACGGGAGCGCGCGGCAAAGACGGGGTAAGTTTAAACCGCTGTTAAAGCGGGTTTTTTTTTTCTTCAACTTTTTGCATATATCTACTGCTTGCTACACTCATATATATGCAAAAAAGCCGGAGGGTTTAATAACCATTTAATACTCACCTGATCCCTGGAACGACCGACCAGCACAGCGCCCCGACTCTCACGCTGTCATTATATGCATACAGATCGTGCCGGTTACTATTTAAACCGGCGCGCTGTGTGCAGCTTCTGAGAAGATACGCTGTTAGCGTAGCGGGGAAGCCTGCTGCGCATTTTGCATCACTCCCGCTACTCTTATATAGTATCTTCGCAGAAGCAG